TGGGCTCTGCATGACTTGGCCACTGTCGACAGCGCTGCTGTAAACATTGGGGTGCATGCGCCCCTTCGAATCAGCATCCTTACACCCTTTGGATAAATAGTAGAGCAGCTGCTGGGTCGTAGGGTGGTTGTATTTAAAAATTTTGAGGAACCCCCATACTGTTTTCTACAGTGGCCGCACCCGTTTGCATTCCCACCAACGGTGCCCGAGCTTCCCCTTTCCTCCACGCCCTCCATCACCAACACTTACTTCCTGTGCTTTTGATACTGGCCGTCCTGACTGGCGTGAGGTGCGCTCTCACTGTGGCTTCGGTTTGCATTTCCCCGGTGACGAGCGATGCTGAGCACATTTTCATGTGTCTGTTAGCCATCTGCACGTCTCCTTCAAGAAATGTCTATTCAGGGGCGCCTGGGTGGCTCAGTCGGTTAAGCGTCCGACTTTCGCTCAGGTCATGATCTCGCGGTTCGTGGGTTCGAGCCCCGCGTCGGGCTCTGTGCTGACTGCCAGCTCGGAGCCTGGAGCCTGTTTCAGTCTGTGACTCCCTCTCTCTCTGACCCTCCCCTGCTCACACTGTCTCTCAGTCTTTCTCTCCTAGAAATAAATAAAAAAACATTAAAAAAATAATAATAATAAAAAAAGAAATGTCTATTCAGCTTCTCTGTCCATTTGTTAATTGAGTTCTTTTTGGTGTTGTTATGAGTCCTCTGAGTTCTTTATATATTTTGGTTAGATCTACCCCTTATTGGGCACATTGCGCACAGGTGACCTCCCCCATTCAGTAGGTTGCCTTTTCTGTTGGCTTCCTTCACTGTGCAGCAGCTTGTCAGTTCGATGTAGTCCCATTTGTTTATTTTTGCTTGTGCCCTTGACTGAGGAGATATAACCGGAAAAAAAAAATTACTTAGACCAATGTCCAAGAACTCACTGCCTCTGTTTTCTTCTATGAGTTTAAAAAAAAAAGTTTGTTTAGAGAGAGAGATAAAATGAATGGGGAAGGGACAGAGAGAAAGAGAGAGAGAGAGAGGGAGAATCCCACGCAGGCTCTACGCTGTCAGCACAGAGCCCAATGCGGGACTTGAACTCATGAGCCGTGAGATCAAGAGTTGGACACTTAACCACCTGAGACACCCAGAAGCCCATCTTCTAGGAGTTTTATGGTTTCGTTTAGGTCTTTAATCCATTTCAGTTTGTGCGGGTGGAAGGAAGTGGTCCCGTCTGATTCTTTTGCGTGTCGGGGTCTAGTCGTCACGGCCCCGTTGGTGAAGACACCGTGTGCCCGTTGCGTATTCCTGCCTCCTTTGTCGCGTCCTAATGAACCGCATAACCCTCGGTTCTTTCTGGGCTCTCTGTCCTGTCCCGCTGGCCGGAGAGCGTGTCGCTGCCACGGCGTCCCTGCAGCTTTCTGGTTCCACTTGAATCTGGAAATGGGATGCCTCCAGTGTAGTTTTTCCTTTTCCAGATTTCTTCGGCTACTTGGAGTATTAGTGGCTTCAGACACCGTGTAGGACAGTTCTGGCTCTGAACAGCGCGGGTGGCGGGGTGACTCGGATTGCATTAAATCTGTGGATTGCTTTGGGCAGTATAGATATTTTAATGATATTTGTTCTTTAAAAAAAAATTTTTTTTAAATGTTTATTATCTAGAGAGAGAGCGAGACAGAGCGTGAGCAGGGGAGGGCCAGAGAGAGAGGGAGACACAGAATCCGAAGCAGCTCCAGGCTCCGACCAACGCGGGGCTCGGACTCATGGGCTGTGAGGTCGGATACTCAGGGACTGAGCCCCCAGGCGCCTCACAGTATTTGTTCATCTAATCCGTGTGCGTGGAGGGTCTTTCCGTTTGCTCGTGTCATCCTGACTTTCTTCCTTTCCAGTCAGTGCTGCTCCGTGTGGGACTGGGACCCGCAGTTGTCACGCGGGCCAGAGTGGCGGCCCCCCTGCCTTGTTTCCGGTCGTCGGTGGAAGACGTCAGTCTCTCCCCACGACAAATACGATGTTGGTATAGGGTTTTCGTCCTGTGTCAGTTGCAGGAAGTTCCACTCTGTTTCTCATCTTCTGAGAATTTCCTAATTTGCTGGTTCACGCAATTCACAAAAGTGCGTTCCAGGTAGATTAAAACCCGTTGGGAATAATTACAGACTCATGACAAGTTGCAAAAATAATACTGGGTGGTGCCTGCACCCAGTGTCTACCCCTCCGGTGGTGCATCCGCCCCAAGGAGGCCTTACTGGGGGGCACGTGCAGCTACCTGGACCACAGTTACCCGGTCTACGCAGATTTCACCAGGAACCATAAATCTGTGTTTGAAAAGCAAAACTATAAAGCTTTTAGATGATACGGGACAAAGAAAGATTTCTTTGTAAAAATGTTCGTTTATTTTGAGAGAGAGGGGAGAGGGCACGGGCAGGGGGGCGTAGAGGCGCGGGGAGCGACTCCCCAGCGGGCGGGTCGCTGTCAGGCCAGTGGACCCTGAGATCACGGCCTGAGCCGAGGTCGAGAGTCGGCGGTCTGAGCGACGAGCCACCGGGCGCCCCCGCTCGTGTGTTTTCCACACGCACAGAGGGGGGAGGGGAGGCCCGCGGCAGGCTGTCGCCCAAGGGCGGCCCGGCCTCGGCTGACCGCCCCCCCCCCCCCCCCCCCCCCCCC